CAATTTACTAAGTTTCATGTTATTTTGCAGCAAATTCCATGTAAAGGGAGCAGAGTAAGCAAAGGCCTTTTTACCCAGCTCAGTACTGACACGTGGGACAGAAAACAAGACAACAGCCTGAGAACGGAGAGAGTAATGACCAGTACTTTTTTTCATAAGAAGTGAACATAAATAAGATGGAAGCGCACCAAGCCTTATATATAAATATATATATTTAAGCAAGAAGAGTTACAGCTCTTCTTGCTTAAAGGTGCCCTTCAGCATGCAAGTAAATCCCAAAAGAATCAGTGGGCTGCTTGTGGTAAACATGACTTTGAGGAAGGAGGAGGATTCCGGAGCATTGTACATTTTTTTCATATTTCCTCGGATAATTAAAGGTCAGGAAGTCTCTGCTATGACAAGCACTGGATCATAAACAAGAGCAGGGTTAATGGCTTTGGTTTAATTTTAACAGTTTTAATGGGATGCATGATGCCACCTTGTGTTCACTTCCCTCTGGTTTGGAGCCAGTAATGGAAGTTAAAGCAGACTGGAGGCCTGAAGAGAGTGAACACACACTCGATTATGAGGTTCTCAGTATACAATAGGATCAGTGGAGCTGCAGAATGTAGATAGCGGTACAGTAGGTGAGAAGAATGATTATTGCACTGATCGAAAGGACTTCAGCTCTGCTAATTGCTCTGGTAATGTTCCCAGCACAGTGGAGGGGGATAAGACTTCTATCTCCAGAGACTGCGGGGACAGGCACATTTACAGACTGTCCCCAACACACACAGAGAGCTTAATATGCTGCATCGACTGATCCGACTCTGCCTTGATCCTCCCCCTGTAGAGCACAGATGATCTGTGATGAGCCGCAGAGATAATGAGGAGAGCCGTACCTGGATGGGAAAAAGAAATCGTCCGGTCAACCAGCCACAGCACCAACCACAGATGCAGTTTGGTTCTTACTTAATTAGATTTAACTACTGGCATCAATCAAGGCAGTGTTTATAATATCACGAATGGGATGCACATGGATGGTATGGCTAAAGATTGGAAAGTTAAAGCACATAAAAGTCATTGGATCTCTTGCATTGTTTTTTTCAATCAAAGTGGTACCAGTTGTTGAGCATAGCTGGTTCTAATGGTGGTCAAATGCTCATGGGAAGTTTTGTTTTTTACCAGCTCTGTTGATTATTAAAAAGGCAGAAAGCGATAATAAAAGTAACAATAAAGAAGTATACCAATAATAGATAGAATAGATAGAAAGCCGAAACAGCAGATCTATATCTGGTTTTCACAACATGAGATGGCGTACTAAACAGCAGAGTGGTGAAGCTAGCTTGCATTAATTTACTGCTAATTTAGACTCATCAGGATACATTTGTTAGTTATCTGTAAGACACAGTTTTAAACTGGTTTTATCTCCACACTGAACAACAAAATATATACAATTACTCCTTATTCAGGGAGGTCTTGCTCACAGATGTGAAGTTTTTACATCAGGTGTCCTCAGTAGTCTAGTTGTTAAGAAAAACAAAGAGGGGGATGTTGGAAATTTAAAATTTTTTTGGAAGCATAAATAGCCTAATTAATATAGTCTATGAATGTAAAGCAATATGCATGCTGTGGTTGTTGCATGTCAGGTATGCCGGTCATTGACCTTGACCAAGGCACCTTTCAGTAGAACTGCATTCAGTCCCTGGACTGGCATGGCTATCACTGCCCCTAAATAGTTTGGGACTAAAGGCTGATTTATACTCAGAAACCAGGTCGTGTGCGTGTGTCGCAGTGAATGCAAATGTGCCTCCGACCCTGCCGTCGACACTGTTACACCTCTCCAAAATTGTAGGTGATTCTCGCTCTTTTTCGCCCTCATTGTCCCTCTATTGTCTGACAAACTTGCCCACACTTCCTCACCGCCTCAGCCGTTTCTAGATCCACAGCTAGTTCCGGATTGTTCCTCTCGTGGCGTGGAATAACATAGCGCAGACCACGCTTCACTACTGGGCATAAATCAAAAATATATGCGACAAGCTCACTGCGACACTGCTGTGAGGAGTAGAACCAGCCCTTATTTTTTTAAGAAGGGGGATGCCATCCCCCCTCAACTCAGGTACTGGGTGTCCTTCCTGACACAACTCGCATTCAAAGCCCTTTCCTCTGAATGAAAAAGGAACAATGTACAGAACAATATAAGAATGTTTATCTGTGTGTTCCAAGTATTATGAGTCTCCCATCTGCAGACATTCACACCTTACACAGGTGACAGGGGCCCATAATCTCAGTCAGTGAGAGTTTTGAAAGCACAGTGAAGAAGAGCAGGTAGAACATTATATGTGTTTATTGCAGCTGACATCTCCAGAGCAATGTTTAATCATAATAAATATATATATGTATATATATATATATGTATATATATAGCGAGTTTTACAGATTATATGGACACTGCAGTGTAAGTAGAACAGAAGAGGAAAAATAGAAAAAAAGGAGAAAAGATGAGAGAAAGAGGAGACAAAAGGAAGATAATGATAAAACATTTTCAGTCTGCTGCATCACCTGCAAAGAGATGTAAAAAGAACAGCACAACCAACAGACATGGTACCAGACATACAATAAAGTACCCTAACAATATTTTACTTTTTGGTTTTCATGAACACGTTTTGGAAATTTTATTCAAACTGTCTCTTATCTTACCATGTAAGTTTGGTCATCTAAAAAGCTTTTCCCTTGTTCTCAATGCAAAGATATGAAGCAGATTCAGTCCTGTCACATCTATGAAGTCTATGTGTCTCATTATCAGCCTCAGTTTTTATTGTGCATCTCAGTGGAAAGGCAAGGCAAAGTTTATTTGTATCGCACAATTAAGTACAAAGACAATTAAAGTGCTTTACATGAATTAAGCAATAAAATATAAGGCAAATTAAATCAGAATTAAGCTTAAAAATGTACCTTGTGCTACGCACACAGTTAAGAGTGACTAGGTTATTCTGTGACAACCCAGTTGTGGTTATTAGTAGTCCAAACTTAATGATTGATTGACTATCTGGGGATGAAAGTAAAATTAGTTAGGTAATCAGAATCTCCAAGAGGTCAAATTAATATGATGTCATCCCAGCAACTGGAGCAATCAGTTTTCATGTTACCCCTATGCAGATGTGCGTTCAGGAGGTGCTGTAATGCAAGGGAGGCATTTCTAGTGACATGATTACAGCAATTTCAGCAACACAACGAGATGGGCGTGCATCACAGGATCGACATCCATCACAGGATGCACATCCATCCTGTGATGGACGTGCAGCCAATCATTGGTTGTTGGGTGGCTTTTAAAAAAGCTGATGAAAGAAAATTCTCTTGCTGGATCTATCACTGTTCTCTGATCTCCTGCTGTTACTGCCGATAGCTTTAAGAGTGATTTGTCCTAGTTGAACCAAAGGACTGTGGAAAGGAACTGTGACCCTGCTAAAGCTCCTCAAACAGGGAGCGTCGCTGTTCGGCTTTCCATTGTGAATAAAATACCGTGACTCACTTGGTAAAATCCAGGTTTTCCTTACTGAGGTGAAACTAGCAAGAAGCTGATAGAAGCTCCCTCTATTTTACGTTGCAGTGACGCAACAGTGGTGGAGCTTGTCACCTGCCATGTAAATCACTAGCGATATGTCAGGTGAGCAGAAACACCCAAATTTGGCGACGTGTTTGTTGTCAACGCACCTAAATAAGTAGAATTATATTGGTAATCCAATTTGATGTTTTACTCTGATTGTGACATTTTTAACTTCCCAGCTTAGAGCAGTTGGGGCATTTAAAAATGAAATGCTTATCACCCTCCCAAAAAACGACCCCATTAGACCAAAATACAATTCAAAATACATACATTTGCTTTGCTTTCATCATCGAAATGTATATACGACTGTGACATTCCAAATGGAGCAAGAGACCGGTTTTCTTTAATAAGCCAATCTAATTTAGGAAAGGTTTACTTTTTGTTTACTTACATGAAAACATTTTGATTATTTTCAAGCTGTGGTCTGTCAAGGCCAAATCTCTAAACAGATGCATAAGGTTTGTAAAATAAAACATTTTTGAAGCACTACAGAAAACAAAACAAAAAAAAACTCTAAAACAATAACTACAGTGAATATGTAAAGGCTGTGAATTCACTTTAACCGTGATTGTAAATTCAGGCAAGCCTTCACCACAATCACTGGCTGACTCTTAAGTTGATTCCTGCTACAAACCCAGAGGTTTAACTTGAAATCCTTTGGGTTGGAAGGTGGATCCCTGGAATGGTGGATGCTATTCTGCTAGTCCGTGTCATGGGAAAGGTCAGAGAGCTGTGATCCTGAGGGTAAAATATGCAGAGTCAGGTGACACCTGTTGGCTTTTACTACTTATTTCTGAAGCTAGTCCCTATTTTACAGGATTATCTATTATACAGCTCCCCAAAGAAAGACAAAAAGGGACCCTTTCTTAAATTACAAACTCAAAGCTATTCTTTCATATTATTATTTCTTTTAAAAACATTTTACTCCTTTAAATTGGAATTTTTAGGTATAATGTTTCTCATTTTTGTAGTTTTTTTTTTTTTTTTTTTTTTGAGACATTTTATGTTTAGATGGCCACTTATTAAAATGTTGACATTACATTTATTCACTGCCTGGCTCGTCAAAGGATAAACCTGCATTTTATTCTGCTACTTCAAAAAATAAATATTTAAAAGGATGTAGATAGGGAATGACATGGTTCTGAGTTTTTGATCTATTATATCATCCTTGCAGCACATTTAACCGTATACTCTGTTTTTGTATTTTCTTTAATATAGTCTAAAGCATTTATTTTTGCATGCAGGAAATGTTGTGTTATTTTAAAAACATGTTCCTGTCAATAAAAGATGCTGTTTATTGCTGTAGCTCTATCCAACTAACATGGCCCTCAATTGCAGCTACACATCATTCTGTTTTCAGAGGATAACTTTCTCCTACTTTAATTAATCACGCTTCTGTTTACATTATGCTAAGGCATCACTCAGGAGATGATCAATGAAACACGAGCATCCACCGAGAGGAAGATGATGGGAGACATTCAAGAGATGCTGAGATCAGGAGATCAGGTCAACCAACAGGACTCTCAGGGAGCCACGCTGGTGAGAAGGTTTTTTTGTGTTTTATTTATACATTCTCAGTTTTACAAATAGTTCAAATACAGACAAAAAAATGCAAATAAAGAAAAACGCAATTGTGAAATAAAAAATAAAATAGTGCGAATATAATAGAAGTCAATCTGCTTAAAATAAATAAAAAAGGAAAAGAAAGAAATGAAAAATAAGTGTGAAGTCTGCTGAAAGGTAATACAAACCTTTGTAAGTAAAAGGACAATCTGCACCAAACAATTGAAATATAGACAAATACATGAAATACATGTACTTTGCATGTAATAAATAATGATTAAACGCATCCAAATACTCACACTGTTACCGTATAGTGTAGACATGTGCAACATAAAAGGCTGCCACATTTGATCAAAAGTTGCAGAAGTCAAATTCTCTCTAGATGCAATAATTAGTCATTTCCATCATCCAGGTCTTGAAATATGGGAAAGTTTAATTTTTCCACCAGGTTAAGATGTTTCTTTTTGCAATGACCATGTTATATTGTATTGTTTTTTGCTTATAGCGGGTTAGAGTAGTGCACTGTTAGAACCCAGCCAGTATAGCATTGCATGGGTGTGGAGTGACGTGGAGAAGCACGTGAAAATATCTGACCAAAAATTGTTTAATTTGGGAAAGGACCAGAAGAGATGGCCAAGACTTCCCTTTGCTGATTTACATTTTGGACAGATTGGGGAGGGAAAGGATAAGAAGAGTTGTAGTGCATGTGTAGTGCTTGAATAGTGAAGCCTATGGATCACTTTGAACTGGATAAGTTGATGCCCAGAGTTTGTCTAACAGCTGTGGATGGCAGGAAGGGAGGGATTATAGACATCTGATTTTAATGCCAAGATCTTCCTCCAAGGCCTCCTTTAGGTTCACAGTAGGAGCAGATTCATAAGCTGTAAAAATGTTGGCAAAATAAGAGACAGGCCTCCTTAAGTTGGGAGTCTGGTTCAGAAGAGCGCACAGACCTGTGGGGCAGGGAGAGATTCAAAGTTTGTTATTTTTTCGCGTGTGTAATCTCTAATCTGGAGATAGCAGGATAAATGTGAATGTGGGAGTGAACCTTTTTCCTTTAGCTGTGCAAAAGTAGCAAAAGATTGTTCAATGTAAAGGTCTGCTAAATTGGCAAGGCATTTTTCCAGGTTTAAATGTATTATCAGTCATAAAAGGGGGAAGATGGGGTTGTGACAAATAATGGTATAAGCTGAAAAATTTAGTAGATTGTATGCTTAATATAATTTGCCAAGTTTTAATGCTGGAAATTAGGCAGCCTACACAAACAACAAATTGGAGAACCATTTACCTACTTAAAAGCTAGGGATTTTTTTCCAAATAGGAATTCTTTGTTCTATTGTAATATTGTTTTATAAGTAAATTGTACACAGAGCGACACAGAAACAGAAAGCCAGATCCTTCATGCTGCAACTGCATGAAGGATCTGCGACAAACAGTGCCACTATGCAGCCAACAAGTAAACAATATTTTCTATTTCTAATCTAGAAATGGTCAGGCAATCAATAAAGCAACAAGTTTGCTCCTAATATCAAAGCACATACTTCTTGCATCTGTTAAGTTGGGAACTTATTTAAATTGTTTTGTTAACACTATTTGGTAAGATTAATTCAATTTTTCCTGTGATGGATATAGAATTAGAAATTAATTAAGTAATATGTTAAAGAAAAGGTGTCATTTTGAAGCAAATGCACTTAAATGGCAATTTGCTGTAAATTTTACATAAAAACTGGGGTAATATTTACAGGATCATAAAGTCTCTTTTTTCAGGTCAAGTCCTGCACATTTTGGTTTGGTAATGTCGTTTTTGGAAATATGGTTTGCCTTGAATCCCGTAACAAAGGGAAGAGTTCAAAAGCTTGAAGAAAAATGCTTTAACTATAAATATAGGTAAAGTTTGGAAAAGATAGAGGAACCTCAGGAGAGCAATCTTTTTATTAGGTTCACACACCCTATCATAGATAAGGGTAGCATCTTCCAGATTTCAGTGTTAGATTTAACCTTTTAAGCCTTTTTAGATAATTCAGTTTACTTTTGGTATAACCAAACCTAAGTATTTATGTTGTCTGTAACAATGTGAAAGGGCAAGCTGTTAACAAAATCTGGATTCATGCCGTTTTTGAGAGACATGAGTTTGCTTTTTTGATCTCGTAGTGTGGCCAGATAGGTCACAAACTGTATTAATAAGTTTGAGCAAAGGGGGAAAAGACTTCTCAGGGTTAGAGAGAAACAGGTTTACATCATCTACTCCACTATACCTAAGATTAACGCAGCAAAGGGGTGGTAGTTCCTCTTGCTGATGGCGACAGGTTCCATCGCTAAAGCAAGAAGTAGCGGGCTCAGTGGGCATGCCTTGACGACCGGTACATTGCAATGAGAGAGTGGGAGATCTGTCATAGTTGGTGCAGCTTTCCAACCCAGGAGGCAAAATTATCACCAGAACCAAAGTCTTTTATCACCGCCAGGATGTAGTTCCATTCAAGTTGATCCAAATATTTATCGCAACAGTTAAAACAGAGATTTTGGAGTCTTTGTTATATCTGGCATACATTTTATTCATCCACCGTGTAACATTGAAAAAAGAGAATCTCCCTGTGATAAATGCAGTAGTGAAGGAGTGGTTGAGCATCTGTTAAATAACAGGAGCTGTTTCGTCTGAATCTGCTTTGTCAAAGTCTATGTTAAAGCCGTCTGGGGGAAACCACTTTTCCGTTGGGAAAGGAACGTTGAATGAAGGAAGTTAGAAATTTGCTTGCCATCTACAAACATTTATTAATCTCTTTTGGCTCTGTAGTGAAGGTACCCATTTGTGTCTTGATTTTATTAATTCTTCGCTTAGCCAGTATGCTTCTGAGCTGACGGGCTAATAGTTTGTCTGGCTTGTAATATAGTTCAAAATGCTTCTTATTTTTTTACCTTTAATAGTACAGTACTCACTTGGTAGGAGAGAATAGTGTTATATTTTGATTAGCAGTTTCATAATCTTGTTCAGTTTAGAAGATAAGGGAGTCTGGTGGAAGCCTCTTTCAAGGTTTTTCAGCTTCACCTCATAGGCTATGACATGGCCCTGTGTAACAGCTTTTGAAGCTTTCCATAGGGTGGAATGTGTAACGTTTGATGTGTCATTATGGGAGAGATAGTCTTATATAAGGAAAGACGTTTGTTAATTGGGCTGGATACATTTAAAAGGTAACGGGTTGAATCGCCAGTTAAACATAGGTTCTCTCCTAACTAAGTCTATTTTTAGTTTAATAGGGCAAGGATCCAAAATTAAAATAGTGTGGTATTTGGTGTAAGTTATCACAGAAGTCAGTTTAGCTGCTGTTAGAAAGTAATTAATTGTTCAGTAGGATTTGTGCACATGTAAAAGAGAGTCATCTCTGCCAGTAGGATGTTGAAGCATCCAGATGTCGACAAGGTTTTATAAATCTAATGAGGTTATTTATGGTAATTGTGGAGCTGGAAGGAGTAATGTGTGAATAAAGCTTATCAGTAAAATAGTTCAATATTGTCTGGTGAAAGAGTCTGGGATGAGATTAAAAACTTTTCTAAAGAAGCAAGAGTACCGGTAATCAAAATTAAGTGCTGGATGGACAGAAGGATGGAGTACCAAAAGTGGTTTGTAAATGTATCTTTATCTTTGTAGTTCTCATGATTAAAGGGACTGTACCTTAGAATGAATGTTGTTTAAAACGTCATCGTAAACTATGCAGTAACAAAGTCCTCCGACACTTCTACTTTCATTACATACAGAAGAAATAGAAGCAGCTTAGTTTCGCTAATCCAGTGCACCTAATTTAGTGATCATCAATCATTTTAACCACTTTTATCAACTATATTGAATTGCAGATGTCAATGCAGTATCAGTATATGCAATGTAACAATCTAAAAGCAGTGAATGGATTCAGTTTCTGAGAGATTATCTATTTCCTGTGCTTTAAATGCAAACTTTGCAAATTCGAAAGTATTTGTACTCGGACAGGAATTATGTGTGTAACCATATCTATATTAAGTGCTTTTAAAGCCTTAAAATGAATAAATATAACGTTTTAAAATGATTAAAGGAAACAAACTGAAGTATTGGAAAATAGTTCCTAAACCTCGTTTTGGACCTAATGTAAGCGATGTGCTGCTCACTTACAAACTCACTTCTCCGCACAGAACTTCAGCACTAAGAGGGTAATAAAGTGTTAACGTTTTTAAAATTATGTTTACTGCAACAACATCTCAGGAGGCTTTCAAACCTTCAGAGCTAATCAGGCATTAGAGACTCATTAAAACTTTCTTAAAGGCAAATCAGATGTGAGATTTTAAATGCTCTGCAGGTTCACTTTTTGTCCGTGGGTGAACATTAGTAATGTAAAGAAACATAAAACATTAAAAGGTAATGAATGACAGTAATCAATATACCACCCGTTTGAATGAAGCATAAAACAAACTGATGGCTATAAATTATTAAACTGTGTTTTTCAAACTTCCCTGTTGTTGGGATTGTTTAATACCATACAGACAACTAAATGACTGTTCTTTATTCTTTTTGCCAAGATACGTATATATATATATATATATATATATATATATATATATATATATAAAAAGAGAAAACCCTGCATAAAACGTTTTTGCATTTACAGTTTATATCAGGTTTACCGTATTAAAGTGGGAGCTGAATAAATCAAATCCCAAATTTAGGTGATTAGTGCAGAAAGGCATTGCAAAGAGCATTAATAAAAATATCTACATTTAGTTTTCAAAGGACGATTCTATGTCAGGGATCTAAATGAAGACTTTATTATGTGATTTAGCTTCAATGTGGACATATGGTGAATTTGGCTGAAAATAGCGAAAGGTTGGAGGTATCCTGAAATAATCTTGTTAAGCTTTTTATGCTCATTACAGATTGTCTGTTGGAACCGTTGTCCCTTTGATTTCTGCGTCCTGTTAATCTTTGTTTGAGCATGATGAAGCAAAATGGAGCATGCCTTATTAAAATCACTGGCAAGGATGATTGGGAAAAACCTGGAACTGGTTAGGCTGTTGTATAACAGTAATCTTTTGTTTTTTCCAGCTAAATTCATTTAGTCTGCTTGTGTTTTGATGTGCACAAGCAGTGACGTCCCAAACCTGTGACCTGACATGTTAGGGGAAAGGACTAGTTAACAAAAAACGATACCAGGCCATTATTTTTAATTTAAAATTCTTCATTGTTGCTTTTAAGTACGTTGGAAAGCCCTAGTTTGCTGTTTTTGAAACATAATTCAACATATTAACTTCTCTTTGCTACTTAGTTTAATCTAAATCTGTTTGTTTGTTTTTTTTTTGTAAAAGTTAACCTACTCATCCAGAATACTTTCATGGATAAACGGGTTTGATTTCTAAATAATTTCAACTCAAATCAAATCAGTCTAGGGTGATTTAAAACGAAGCCATTCTAACAGATCTGGTAAATATTGTGCCATAAATCTAAATAATATTGTTTTACAATTAAATTTGATCAACAATTCAATGCCTGTTGGTAAAATTTTTACACATCCTTTATAATTACTAGCCCTGAGCAAGCATGCGGTAACATTAAAAAGGAAACAAGAAATACTGCAGTAAAACCAGGCTCAGTGTAGCTGCCCAATATTCTGCTACTAGCTGTGGGTTTAGGACGACACTAGATAGACCAAGCAAATGGTAATCAGTACTTTTCATAAAATCATCCTTAATTTTTAGCTTTTGATAGGAATAATAATGACTTCATCTTGAAATTCCCTCATCTGGATCCGAGTGAAAGTAATCAAAGCCACTATGATCATCTGTTTGGAGCTGATTTTTTCAGTACAGTCCATAACAAACATACTATATCCTCCATTACCTTCAATAATAAACTCTCACTGAAACTCTGTCCTGAAGCAGAGGGTCTCAGTGATTCGTTTAATCAGCCATTAATCCTGAAACCAGACAGAGATCAGCCCTCCATGAACTGAGTGACCTCCAACATTCCTCACAAGCTTCTGTTTGCTCTTTTCCACTATGTAGTATTTCTCAATTTGACCCTTTTTTTTTTCTTGTATTTTGTGCTAAAAGTGAGGTCTGGCACAAATTGCTGTTTTAGTTTTCTGGATAACCTTAGCCCAGATTTTTAAATGCATCTCCTCCAAAAAATAACTTGCTTCTATTTCATATACATCTTAGCACAAAGCAACTAAATTTCATTTAGTTGCTTTGGGCTACATCTACTCTCATTATAAATCCAAAAGCATGATCCATAAACTGAATGAAGTATAAGGACTTTTTCCCTCCGCTGATTAGTACTGACTTGTTTATCTGAACATGTCAAGTACTTTTATTCAAAAAACTGTTTGCAGACTTAAACAGAGTTATGACCTTTTTAAACACACCTGCACCCCAATGCAGAGATACTATAAGTCCCCGTTAGCTTCAAGAATACGAGCTAATCTTGTTCATGTGAAGGTGAGTCCGTCTGCAGGGGAAGACATGCCGAGTCAACCTGTAACAGGAAAACAAAAATAAGATTCCAATTATATTATCAAAACTAAAATAGATCAAAATTCAGGTTTATTAAAAATAACCCAGCCTGTACAGTTTGCATTATTACAATCTTGTTCCATGAAAAAAAGAAATGCATGCATAGATATTTTTTTAAAGGGCCAAAAGTTGAAAGCAGTTTTCACCTCATGCGTTTAGAAAAACAGAGTGGTTAGTTTAAACTTTCTTTGGCATCATATGTTATTGAGTTGCAGGCACAATTATCTTCACTAGAACTTTTTATTTATTTATTTAGATCTCAACCTTTACTCTTGGATTTTAAAAAAGCAATCAACATTTGCAAATCTAACATCTAATATCGTCTAAGTTGACAAGATATCTCAATTTGTGCACGACCGGGAAACATTTTTAATTTCTGTCTCACAGTTTGATAAAATGTCCCTGCAGCTGACAAAAAATAAATAAAAATCACAGGCATTTTTCCTAAATGCAAAGAAAGCAGAGGTGGAGTCATTGTCACAGAGCTGCCCCAGCGCCCCACAGCATGAACAACCTGCACACAATGCTCTTAAAACAGAACAGGTAATGCATTTTAATACAAGATGGAATTTATACAAAGTTTAAAGAAAAGAAAACACAGCAACAACAAAGACTGTGAAATATTTTACAACTGGGTAAACTAAGTGAAAGTTAAATCTCAGAGAGCTTTTTGCAAAGTTTGCCAAAGTTTTTTTTTTTTTTCAGTTTGATATGAGGGGAGGACAATGTAAAGCAACAATGACATTTGAATTGAAAAAGCTTCCTGGATGGGAAGCGAAACGTCTTTAAACTTGGAAACAAAGTCCAGTGGTTAGTTCTTTGTTTTTTTTTTTACTTTTTTGGAAGGACCATGGCCTGGATGACTGAGAATCTTCACCAGCAAGTAGATGGCGCCTTACCCACGATTGTCATCTGCTCTACCTCAACTTTAGCTTCTCTCTGCCTGCCCCACACATTTCTTTTTCTTTAGTTCTTCAGTAGAGTCTGTTGATATGTTGTTGTTTTTTTCCACTATGGACTTTCGTAGCATCATACTTTTGTTGTTGGTGGTAATTTGAATTCGGTAAAGGGCTCAGGAGTATCTTATGCTAATGCTCCTTGGCTAAAGGGGTAGAGAGCAGGATGGCATATTCATCCCCACATTACATTTAGAGCCACCTCCTCAACCAAGGAGAACCAGAAGCCAGTGAATGAGGGTTAGTGAAGATAAAATGATGACTCTGATGGCACGCATGCACAGAGGAGATTATTTTACTTTAAAGATCTATATGGGTGTGTGCATGGCCACCAATCAGAATGGAGATCGGGAAAATCCACCTCTCTCAGTCAGAAGGAAATGTCTTTCCGATCTCGCCTAATCGCATTCAAATCTTCAGTCAAACATAACACATTTTTGATCTGATCAGCCCTTCAATCCAATAATTTGTTTCCATGTAATCGTAGCTACTCGTGGCAGTGGCTTGAAGAGTTGAAATGGATCACAGACATGTTACAACATTTTCTAGAAAGCATTTCCTTTCACAGAGCTTTTCAAGCGATGTGAAGAATATTCAATCTTGAGTCTGCTTCAATCATCAAAAATGTCCAACTATAAGAGAGCTGTTGTCAATTCAACCTGGAGGCACATTGACAAAGTTTACTAATGAATTCACTAAGTAGATAAATATAACTTATAGGTTTGAGATCAGTTGGTCCAAAGTCAAGGCAGCTCAGAACAAAATTAATCAGATTTTAGTCAGTATCCGATTTCTTGATCTCTCTATAAAAGTTATGTTCTAAATGTAACAACAAAGAGTATATCACTTAGACTTGATTGTTATTTGGTATACACACGGTGTGTATAAAAATAAATTTTGTTCAGTACAGCTCTCAAATATAAAGATGACAAACATCTTGTACATCAGCCTTCAGTACTTCATATATTTGAAGACTGACACCTCTTCCAGTTTCTAGATAAATACAGTCCTAAAAGTACAACTACATAAAATATCAGGCTGAAATCTTTGCATCTGGGTGAAATACATATTTTCTATTAGTGAAGCGTACTGAAAGCGGTCACAAAATACCAAAAAGTAAAAACTTAAAATGCAATATTTACGACTCTAATCAGAAAAGATTTCTTTATGAAAACACATTTTGTGGAGAAAAACCTCTTTGCTTTAACTGCTTCCCTTCAATATGCGTTTTCATTGAGCTGTTTTAATGGATGGTCAGAGTGCCAATATCCACATAAAACCATTTCCCATTTATAAGTAATTCCTCGTTGCAAGCAGGCAAGTGGGGAACATAAAGGCAGCAGATCATTTCCTTACAGTGACTGGTTTGTTTTTCCTCACCTTACACATTGATTGTAAGGCCTTAAGATTTTGATTTAGATCTAAGTTGCAGTCAAACTCACAAACAGGTGTTTCCTCTTCAGAAGTTATTCTTTTAATGATCATAATGCTACATTTCCTTTTGCATGAAAAACCCACAGTATACTAGAGCAAAATCAACTGTATAAACAAATCACTCATCTATTCATCATCCGTGCTTTGTGCAGCTCCACATAGCAGCAGCCAATGGCTACGTGCAGGCTGCAGAGCTCCTACTGTTGGAGGGGAGCGCTCGAGTGGACCTTAGAGACTCAGATGGATGGCAACCTCTTCATGCTGCAGCGTGCTGGGGTCAGGTAAGGCAAACACGGCAGGAGGATTAAAAAAATTAGCATGCACACTTAACCAGCAGTTTCATTTATTCTTGGGGTCTTTGTTTCAGATGCATGTGGCAGAGCTGTTGGTTTCACACGGAGCCAGTCTCAATGCCAAGACCTTCCTAGAAGAGACTCCAATAGGTATTTTAAAGAAGACCAATCATCTCTGTAGGGCTCAGTTTTATTTGAGATAAAGGGTTCATTACCACTGTAGGCTGGATTGAAAAAAAATCCTAGGAAAATTATCCCCAACTATGTAAGGTTTTTGTTTTAATATGTTATCTGCATGAGACTAAATAAGTCTCTCATCCCATGGTATGAGAGACCATGGGAGCTAACCTACCATTTTCTTGTTCGTTGAGATCTGTGTGAGGATGAGGAGTTCCGAGCCATCCTGCTGGACCTGAAACACAAGCACGACACCATCATGAAGTCTCAACTCAAACACAAGACCTCACTTTGCAGGCGAACCTCCAGCGCTGGCAGCCGTGGGTAAGTGCTGCCATCTGCTGGTTCCCAGGCTGCTGCAAGATGGTTTTAATCAAGATGGAAGATAAACATATTACTCTGTTTTATATTCTTTATAACTTCACCTGTGTTTACAGAAAAGTGGTCCGGCGTGCTAGTTTGTCTGATAGACACAACTTGTGTCGCAAGGAGTACGAGACTGAGGCCATTGTGTGGAGGGGAGGGAGAGAGGAGGAAGAGAAGGAGAAGGAGTCTGATCAGGAGAACAATCAGGTGGGAAATTCATAGATTTTGTAAAAGGATAAACGTCGTTCATAAATGTCAGGTTATCTGTAGGTATATCAGAGATAAAAACTACCTCCAACAGCTACAGAGAAGGAAACCCAGAGTGGAAAGAAACTGGCTAAAAAACAGTAAAATGTACTGGGAATTAAATGAAAAATACAAGCCTTTGTTTAAATAAGGTCACATGAATATATAAAAATACATTTTTGACTTTTGTCTATAAATAATTATATGTTTAGAATGATACACTGTCATTTTTTTTACTTGATGTCTGATGGTAATGATGACATTGAAGAAGAACACTTGATTTATTAAACTTGTAAAGAAAAGTGTGGGATCTGATGCCACTAAATAAAACCTAGTCCTGTCACCTGGCTTCAGAAATTACCCAACAAGGAAGTAGTCTCAACAGAAAAATATGTAAGTAATGTAAACACAGGGAAATTATCATTGCAGATCATCAAAAGGCTAACCATCTCACGGCTGCACCTGCATCATGATGTGTTGATGCTTTACTTTCAGGACAGAAACATGGAGGCTGTTTAGATATAAAGATTAGATGGATGGAGCTAAATATTGAGTATAATGGTGGTCATAGTCTGACAAAGACTTAAAGCTACAGTGTGTAATTTTCAGCGACATCTAGCGGTCAGACTACAGACCGCAGCAACATGAACATCTCCCCCCCACCGCTTCTCCCCCCCAACAGTACGGCGAGCGTTACGGGACAAATTTTCTTCTACGACGTCCACATCACCTACCCTCTCAAGTGATGAGGTTTGTTTACATAGATAATTTTACAGATAGTATTTCATTAGTCTGAGTAGGGTATAGATTTCATGTAGACTTAAGATAATAAATATACCCGTTATTTTTTCTACATCGTTGTGACGTTTTGGTGAGCTGCTTTGCATGGTGATATAAACAGAGGAAGTAATTGTAGTCATTAGTTTAACAGCGAGATTGTGTTCGCTGGAAGAATATATATTCCCCGTTTACAGAGTCCAAGTCATTTTGGTGGCACGGGGGTTACAACGCGAGGGAGAGGACGAGGGCGAAGGCAGGGAGGCCGTGCAGCTAGGGCCAGGCGAGAGAGGGGAGCCAGCGGGGTGAGAGCAGAGGAGGAAAGGCTTGAAGATCTCCAAAGGAGCCGGAGAGAAGTAACCGAGGTATATATCCAGAAAATTATTTTACAGAAAATTACTGAATCATTACCTGTGAAACGTCAGGGACGTTGCTGAATAAGTATACTGGAGAGTAACAGCATCATCACGCAGCATGTTATTGTTTTAGACAGGTCTGAGCATCCTGTACTCCAAAAACTGCAGTGATATTAGACAATTGTGTGTGTAGGATTAATTACCTGTCCAAGAGAAAACTGGCAACTTGAGCGTCACTTTGAAAACCTTTTTCCTCCATCAGTGACTTCCATCGTGTAAATGCCGTGCCAATGTTGATCCGTGTTTTTTGCCGTTTCTTGTCACGCTTACGTTATTCTCGTCCTGTTTCCGCTTCTTAGATGACGGGGGTTCGGTGTCCGCCGCTTTTCGTTGTGATACAGAGTAGGCATGATCCTCCATTCGTCTGATGTTTGGCCACACAGTGCCAAACAGTTTGCAAAGTCACTCACGCCTGCCGCCTTGTTCACCTTTCTTGTTACTGAGGCGCAGTATACCTGCTTCTTCTTCTTTGGTTTCAGGCAGACTAAACGCTTCTCAGGCATAATACTGCCATCTACTGTTCAGTACCGTCTCAGTTAATCTCTCTCAACTTGCCGTAGTTATTTTTGAGCGTCATGGGAGATCTCGCAATCGCTAGTTTGTTGCCTCTGCGCTTGCCGTAGCGCAAAGATGTCAGCCTCCATGGCTGCGAGACCCGCTCCTATGTAATTATAAATAACGAATTCTAAGGCAACACAAATATTATGGTTAAAAGGCTGAGCTCATAGGTGATGATAAATAACATAGTTATGTATAATATATTAAATTTCTGACTTTATATGCCTGTAATTATTACACACTGTAGCTTTAAGACAGTAGGTTGACTTCTTGCCAAAGAGTGACCATAGACTCCCTGTGAAATGGTTTGGATTAAAACACTTTTATTTCTTAGTATAGCCTAGTTACAGGCCAAACCAAAAGTAGAATATCTAGAGATTTTATGTAAAAAAAAAAAAAAACCACAGCCATCCACTAGAGGACACTGCTGTTCATTCATAAGCGTAACCTTTCTGGTATTTGCAATAGAAGTAATACCAGAGCAGACATACTAGAGCAGAAACATAAATCAATCCAGAGTTTGTTCCACAGTTATTTTCACTTTTTAATAACAATGCAAAATGTACTTAATGCTGTTCTGTTAGTATATATTAACACTCAATTCCTTCATTTATCACTTAAATGGCACTGATCTAATCACAGATTTAAAAGCTCTGATTGCACAAAGTCTCTCCCAGCACTGATTGCTGGATTACACAAAAATTTAGAAAGCTACTTCCCATCTACTTCATTAAGGTGAAGTAGCAAATAGTCTGACAGCATATAGTCTTGGTTTATCATCTCTGTACATTGAAACCATAACTGTTTAACATAGAGATGTCCCGACGTCAGATTTCTTATGTATGAGTACCAGTACTGACATTTTAGTCCTTGCCAATACCTTGTACAGATGCAAGTACTAAATCAAAGCTTTAATGTGATGAAAATTTTTTATCTTACTTTCTAACATGCTAAGCTGACAAAGTCAGACTTTTATCTTGGATTCAATACAGCTTAGTTGCAGTAGAGGGGCCTTTTCCAACAGGGCCTCTTGACAGCTGCAGGTAGGGTAAACCTAACAGTTTTAATTCTGTGATCTTTATCATTTAAGCCGTATCAGTTTAGATTATTGTTTTTTTTGTTTGTTTGTTTGTTTGTTTTTTAAACAAGTGCCAATACTTGACACTGGTATCGAGTCCAATAACAGTACCAGTATCTATATCGATGCATCCCCAGTTTCACATATTTCATCCTTTTTATCCAGCGACCCAATGAGTTCCTGTTTTGTTATATCTTCTTAATATTTCTAGGTTAATAATGTCTTCAGTCAGTTTTTATTACAGCTGTCACATTGTTGAAATATAATGATGTACAATTTCTTTTTTTTATTTTTAGCATATTGAATAGAAAATAGACCCCTATGTTAATGGAAAGATCCTCTTGTTACAGGACAAAACTATGGTTAAAAAAAACAAATTAATAATTTATCTTTCATTTAGACTATGTCATACATCGATAACTTGCATTTCAAATGTAAAAACTGTTGAAAGCAATATTTCCATCTAGTAATAACTGCATGAAGCACCACAATCTATTTTGAGTTGGTCTATCAAATTAAATGCCTGCAGAGGGTTTTGGCTTTATTGGGAAGGGATATACATAGAATGGTCTTAGCTGTAAAGAGATCAATGTAACCTCTCCTGATGCTTTACAGGTGAAGCCCATTGTAACTGTGGAACTACCAGAGGAGCCCAAGCTGCCCACCATCCTCAAAGATGGCAGCGGCACACAGAACGGCCTTGTTACAACTACGAAATCCATGCCACCTCAGGCGCCCCCCAATGGCAGCGCACCAACATCCAACAAAAGCGTGGTCGTCACCTCCCAGCCCTCACAGGAGGAGGTTACACCGAGAGAGCGCGCTCAGACATTGTCGGAGTTAAAGAAGCAGAGGGCAGCAGCCAAGCTCTTGAATCACCCCTTGTTTAATGGTCACCTTGGCAACGGCTCCACAGACTCCTTCTCTGATGCCAAAATTTACTCAGAGGACCCTCGGATGCCGCTGGTGTCCTCCAACGGTAATGCAGTTTACTACACGCCGGCCAGCGGTGATCCTCCCCTTCTGAAGTTCAAACAGCCCCTAGAGGAGGAGCAGCCCAAGGCGCGGACCTGCTGCTGTGTTTCATAGCCTCTTGGTCACGTGGTTGTTGAGAAAACAGTAAAAACTATGGAGGAAACGAAGAAAGTAGATGAAGAATATTTCTGTTTTTGATATCATGTTCCCATTCCACTTTAAACTCAGTCCAGAGAAGTTGTAACTTCATCGTGTGCGAGTCCTCCTTTATGTTTCCCAAAGCAGGCAGGTGGTAAAGAGCTGTGAATGGGGTTCAGAGGTGCAGGAGGATCTGGTTCACTCAGCCTATAATACAATCACATAGACTGGGGATTATTATTTTCTTTTACCTAATGAGGGGTCAAAAACCTTGATGCACTGGATTGGAAAAAAATCACCAATGTGATGTATGCCCTGCCCTCGAACGGAGCTTAAAGGAATAGTACACCCAAAACATGATTAGCCTTCATTTTCTACTCACCCCCATGCTAAACAACACCCTGGAGTACTTTTTTGATATCTCAAATGCATCTGGAGATCTGGGAGGCTTCTTGCTGTCTGCTGACATTCAAATAATGGAGGTCTATGGTGTCCGAGACAGAAAGGTCCATAAAAGTCCACAAAAAACGTGTCAATATTCCTCCATACTGCTCGTCCAATGTATTCCAAGTGTCCTGAGTGGGTAGCATCCAGAATTTACTCGAAACGAAGTCATTTAGAATGTTTTTAGAGCACAGTAGTGTATAGGATTTCCTGAAAGCGCGCACATGCGCGTTCACGAGCCTACGGAAGCCGGCAGACCAAACCAGATGAAAGTGCGCACTCAGCATCTGCTCTGCCAATAATGCAAGCGTAGAAGAAGAAATGTGCTGTTTACCTGTGCAAAGAAAGAAACAACGAAAGAAAAATGTCTGAGGACTTCAGTGTTGAGGAAGAGCATGAGTTCTTTGCCGAGCTGAATGCGCTGGTTTGGTCTGCCGGCTTCCGTAGGCTCGTGAACGCGCAGGTGCGCGCTTTCAGGAAATCCTATACACTACTGTTTATGCTCTAAAAACATTCTAAATGACTTTGTTTCGAGTAAATTCTGGATGCTACCCACTCAGGACACTTGGAATACATTGGACGAGCAGTATGGAGGAATATTGACACGTTTTTTGTGGACTTTTATGGACCTTTCTGTCTCGGGCACCATAGACCTCCATTATTTGAATGTCAGCAGACAGCAAGAAGCCTCCCAGATCTCCAGATGCATTTGAGATATCAAAAAAGTACTCCAGAGTGTTGTTCAGCATGGGGGTGAGTAGAAAATGAAGGCTAATAATTCATTTTACTTCCAGCAAACTGATCTTTAACAGATCAAGAAGGATTTTCATCCACGTCAAATACTGTGTTTATTTAAATAAGTCTGATTTATTTTTTTTCACCTGTTTTTGTCAGTTCTGAATGAGCAGGAAGTCCGTGCTTGAGGGCGGGCCAGGAAGATTGTAACACTTTGTTGAGGAGCAGCGAAACGTAGCATGAGGTCTTTGAGTCTGATTGCATTTAAACTGTAAAAAGGGAATAAATACAAGGAAACAATTTAAACTAATGGAAGAAGTGTACTTCACGGTGGATAACAGACATAAAACACCTGCACTGTTTGAACATGTCACTATATTGTGTTGGCTTTACTTCAGCTTCACCTCACCGTCCGCTCCTGTTGAACCTAAACTGACAGATCATGCTCTGTATTTTCTGTAATCCACTTTGTGCTCACTCCTATAGATAATTTAACCAATCCCGGCTGCTGTACATTTCCTTATTTATGAGATTAATGTGTAAAAAAAAAAAAATGTTTAAAGTTGAGTGTATTTATTATTTGGATGCTGTGCGGAGAGTGTGAATGCAGTATGAGATGAGCATCTTTAAACATGGAGTAAAAAAATCACACGAGGAGGAGAAATGTATGTTACTGTCTGACCTGTTAAATACAAACCTATCCTGTTGGGGCAGACTTCTGTTTGTGTTTCATTGTATAACAGTGTTATTTGCTTTTATGTATTTGTTTTTTCTCCTAGCCATCATGTGGCTTTGTTGTCAGCCAGTTACTGTATTCTTCTTTTTTTTAAGAAACTGTCATGAATTACTGTAAGAGTTTTCAGAAGCCCACACTGTAAGAAACTCCCCATAAAGGCTCAAATGAAAATTACAAACTGTCTATTTATAATAATACTCTCAGGTAAAGGAGTAGTGTCAAGTGTTTGGAAATACATCATGTTTTCCCACATTTTAATAGTTATCGCCTCCCACCAGCACCAAACAAGCACATGTATGTGTAAGTGGTTGTTTGGGCCCATGACTGCAGCATCCAACCACTAGCAAACCAAAGTAAAATTTGTGTTTATAATTTCACATAAATTTTAATTATGTCGTTTATTTTTATTCAATTGTTTCTGCAAGGTTCATTAAATTTGTTAACATTATTAATATCACAGATGCTGGTTAATATACCCGTTTGACATTTGTCGTTACCATTACATCGTAGTTGATTTGTTCCTGACTTCATAGACATGAAATAGAGCCTCTGTTTAAGATTTTTGCACTGATTGTTTGTTAATCCCTCTTGCTTGTGGGAGGTTCCATTCAGAATTTATTGCAACTATCTATAATCTGGGTTACCTAAATAGAAATACTGTTAATATTTATTTCTACAAGCAGAAACATTTGAAGTAGTTTTAGTTCAGTCAGGAATGATGATGTAGCATATTTTAGAGGGATTGACTGGTCCAAATGAGAATCGGACTAAAAAGTGGAGCAGCAGTTCGCAGACAGGCATATGGTTCCGTTATGTAGGTATGAATGGGTAGCATGAAAGAAGCAAATAAATGGTGTAAATTAACCACATGCCCATCACCTCCCTTACAACAGTATCTTTGAATTATTAAAGGTATAACATTAAGTCAGAAACTACTGAACCTCACTACCCGAAGTAATTGAATCTCTTAAAGATATATAAAATATATGTGATCTAGGGCTGAAACAATTAATATATAATCAATTGTTCATATCCTGGAGTATAGAGACTAAAACATGCCTTTAGCTGACAGAGCAACCCACTTAGAGCAGTACTTGTAAGAAATATGTTTTATCCAGTACCCCTTAAGTGGAAACATTTAAGTTTGACCTGGTTTAATACTGTAAAAAATCTTTAACCTTTTGCTATCTGATTATTAATTTAATTAAAAAAATAATCAACAAAATCATTGTTTGTTGCAGCCCTAATGTGATCATCCACAAACCGATCTGATCACACATGTGTATCCCACTGTCCTTGTGGGGACTTTCCATTGATTTCACTTCATATTACATAAATTTCTATTGCCTGACATAAACCTAACCTAATCTCCCATCTTAGTCCTAAACTTCAGTAAAAGAAGAGAATTTCTCACTGGGACCAGTCCTTGGTCGTCTCAAGTACCTGTAAGTCCCCACAAAGTAGCATATTCCTAGGAAATTGTCCCCACAGGGTAGCAAATGCATGACAACACATAAAGATCAAAATCCCTCAATTTTTGCTGGTGGGGGGCTTTTTTTTTGTTTGATTGTTTTGTTTTTTATTATTTATATAGATCTACTTTGACCTGCTGCAGTTTCATAATAAACATAAAAATGGTGTCACCATTTTCAATTATTTCTTAGAATGTGTATTTCCAAAATAGCTGAACTAATCCTTTAACTGACCTACAGCCTTTGATCTTATTAGTGCCAAAGAGTATTCCAAACTTTCAAAGCATATATAAAGGTTTGAAGAGTTAAGGATTACTTTACCATTTATGCTCACCCCTATTGTTTTGTAAAATTATTTATAATATCATTTTGTTTTCCGATTATAATTACCTGTACAGTGTTATATAAATGTACAGAAAACTGTGTAAATATGATCGTATCGATGTTCCCAGATCTCTTCTCATATTTCGCCTTTACATGTCTGTTTTTTTGTTCTAGGGGAACTAATACAATCACTTGTCTAAATAAACAATGTCTACATTCATGTTATGAATGCAAATCACTCTAAAACAAGTTAAAGCCCTTTTTTTAATTATCCAGGAATTATAAATTCATTGCATGCATCCAGGTGGCCCTCTATCCTAAAATGTTTTGCATCTTTTTAAAACATTTTATAACCAAAAAGAAAAGGTGTTTTTCTGTTAACTTTTTTTTATGTTCAACTTTATGTCTGGTAACTTTAGACTAAATACTGCATCATTACTTTCAATTGATAGCCATTTGTAATGAGTCAGTAGAAAGAAATCAATGTTTTAGCTTCTGCAAAGTGTTAAACTCAGTATATGTAATATTTTAAAAAACCAAACTCAGATGTGACTCGAAGCGATATATGGAGGAATTATTGCTTGTTCTTTTCCGCAGGCCCTGTTGTCTATAATGATATAAATAAACAACAACTACTGATTTTTGTAATTACTGGTATATATTGATGGCTGCATTAACATATTTTGAATAAATGGTATATTTTTAGAAACTTAAATGGTGTCTGAAATGATAAAGCCTACATAACAGTGTCATAAGAGTTGATAATGCTTTTTTAGAGCATTACATTAACACTTGAAATTATTATTATTATTTTTTAAACAAATATCTGTGGTTTGGACGCTAAGAGATCAGCTGTATCTACTACGCAGCTGTCTTCTGTTGTGCAAAGTGATCATGTCTCCTTTTACAACACAGCTGTTGGGGACTTGGCTGCATGTGCAAATCAAGTTTTTTTTACACAAAAATAACTACAGTTATTCAGCTTTACTCATAATAAAGATTTTTTGGTCTCCAAGGTAAAATAAAAAAAAGAATATGTTTAAAAATAGAGTAAAATTATTGTGAATATTTGTTTTATGTTTGAGCCCAGTCTTAAATGGATGGGTTAATTAAAAAGAACCACTTGCCTTTCAGAAACTCATGAATTTGAAAAAAGGAACCAATTGTAAGCCCTAAAACGTATTTGTTAAGCGTCCACATTAGCACACAGTCTGTGTAGTCGGAGCAAATGAACAGAAAAATCCACTTTACATCTCTAGATGACTGTGGCCAGTGAGTGTACCCACGGAATAAAGACTGGGTAGAGAACAATGGTGCTGAAAACTCGTGATCTGGACTGCATTAACCTCCCTCCCTGTTGCCTGTCATTGCCTTTGTGCCTGAACCACTGAGTCCAGGCTAGCTGGCTCTGATCCCAGTCCTTCTGTCCTCCTCATTGAAAAGCAGTATAGATCTAATCCAGAAGCAGCATTCAAACACATACCAAGCATTCACTACGGTATAAAAAGGAGGGATGCTGAAAGAAGACAGAGAAACATGAAGCATCGATACTGTAATTAATTTTAAGAAGGGAGAATTTAATGGAAATGTATCTCAAGAAGAGAGTAATAATAGAAACTTTAAAGGCC